TTGTATTTATTTTTTTACAAAGATTATTAATGTAATGACAGTAAACTCATTGTTTAAATAAAGTCTCGCATTTAATGTCTGTTTGCGATTAAAAAAAAAAAAAAAAAAAAAAATTTACTTTATCATTTGTATTTAAAATTAATAAAATAATATTTTAATTATTTATAAAATTTATAAAAGATTTATTTAATAAAAAGATGTTTAAAAAGTTTTAATTTTTAGATATATAGTTTTTTACTATAAGGATTTTATATTAAATTTTAAAATTTTTTTTTAAACATTTCTTATATTTTTAAATATATATTTAAAATTTAATATTTAAAATTTATATTATTACAATAGTATTATTTGTATTATACTTTTTAAAAATTTTTAAATTTTTATATTAAAAATATAAAAAAAAAAAATAGAAAATATAAGATTTGACAATTATAGACAAGATATATTAATTTAATATATCATATATATAAGAAACAAATTACAATTTAAATAATCAAAGTTAAAGTATACAATAAAAACAAAATTAATAATAAAATAAAAATTTTTGTTAAAAAAACAAAAGAAAAACTTGAAATTACTTGAACTAATTAATACCAGTAAAAAATTTTAACAATATTAGATTAAAACAAGATTTCTATTGATATAAAAATAAGAAAATTTATTAAAAAATATTTATAAAAAATATTTAACAAAACGGATCAATTAAAATTAAATATTAAAAAAATGGTTTAGAAAATAGATAATTAAAAGAATTTTAATTGAAAAAATTTATAAGAAATAAATAAAATAAAAAAATTCTTTAAAATATTAATAAAAAAAAGTTTTTTGCATAAGATAATAAATAATAAACTATTAATATTAAATAATATAAATAAATAATTTTTTAAAAAGTATAAAAATCTGATTAATTAATTATTTATATTACAAATAAAAAAAAAAGTTATTTAAATATTTATAAATTTATAAAAATATATAATTTAACAAATAATTAAAAATTATACAAAAGAAAAAAATCCTAAGATTTTATAAAAAAATAATGTAGAAGAATATAATTTTTATTAAATTTAAGATAAGCTTTTAATTTAAAAATAGATTAAAGAAAAAAAATAGTTGGAAATATAAAATAGTTTATATTTTATTCAAATTAACTGTTGTAATAAACTGCAAGCAATGATTTTTAGTTTTGAATTTTATAAGTAAATAAATATTAAAAGATCAATTTTATTTATTTTCAAAGCTATGTTTAGAAATATTAGTTTAAGACAAATATTCAAGACAGTAAAATAATTTATACAATACAATGTATTATATATTATTTGTTTTTTGCAAAGATTCAATAAACAATATATACTTATTTGATTATGAAAATAATAAATTATTGAATTATTAAATTATACAAATTTATTTTAAATTAAAAATCTTTTCAATATAAATAAAAAGTTCAAATTTCTTGTTTGCAGTTTATTACTATAGCTTTACTAATTAATCAATGATATTAAATTTATATATTAGATACACAATATATCATATAATGTTAATGATTATTCTAAAAAATACAAATTTATTATCTTGAATGTGTTAATTAGATTTTTTTTAAATGCATTTACTGCATATACAGTACATATGTAACATGTGAGACCCTGTTTATTTTAAAACAAATGGTTTGTTATATGGCATTCATTTTGATGCTTTTGTAATTGAAATTTTTTTGTTAATGGTATATGAATTTTTTGTAAGTGGTACGAATAGAAATAAATAAATAACTTGTTATCACAAATATTCTAAATTCTCGAGTAATTGATCAAACAGTCGATTGAAATGTAAGGGAGATTGGAAAGTCGAGAATTAGTGTTTGCTATTGCAACAATAACAGATCAAATGCAAACACTAAAGACAGCCAACCGGTTAATTTTCGAAAAACAGAAAATATTATTAGCTTGACGTTTTTAAACGACGTCAAATCCTAAACTCGTTTGTCTAATAACATTTGCAAGCCACAATGAAAGCCAACATCGTCTTAACCAGAATTTGATATTTTACTATGGAACATGACTGATTGTTATACTATATATGCGTTTGTGCTGTGCGCCCGCATCCCTTGCACTTTCCCACGTGCGCCTTGAGAACGGTGCGTGTACACAAACGTTTCGGTATTACATCGTAATTTGGCACAAATAATTTTTGTTCGAAAAAATTCATGTATTACACTCACACAGGGTATATATAGTACAACAGTAATACAGTATCAAGGCATAATCCTGCGTACCTACTTCATCCACTTAATCTATCTTCTTTTCTCAAGGTCTTAGTGACATTCACACATTCTTTCCATCGCTTAATATATCGCTGCTTCGCGAACACAAAGCTAAACCAAATTAAGAGACATAGCATGATGTCCGCAATGTCTGAAACAATGTCGAAGGATACAGAGGACATGGACTACTTTAACGGCGGTAGGTGGATAAAATTCCCTGTTTCAAAAAAAAAAGAAAATTTTCAAACCAACTTCAGCCGACTTATCATGTACCAAAAATTAAATTGACATATGATACGATAGATTTTTCCAACGTCGTGGTTCTCTTCAAGGGTTTTACCATATCCACCATACCCTCCTTCATATTAGCATGTTTATTCATCATAACGCTATGCTGGTTCGAAAGACTGCTGAGTTATGTCCTCGAAAAATACAAATACGATATAAACCGTTCTCGAAATAGATCTGTGCTTATCAGAACCGCGGGTTACCTTGTAGCCACGATTCTTAGATTATTCTACATGCTAATCACCATGACTATGAATACGCAACTTTTCATTGTGGTGGTAAGTTGAAATCTTTTGTTTTTTTCTTTCTTTCACGAAAATATTTAACGAAAACTTTTTCGTCATCACCATCAGGTCGTTGGCTTGGCCACAGGGCAATTGATCACCGAATATTTGCGTTCCATTCCGTAAGTCTCTTCTCGATAATCATTCTTTACTTAATAAGTCACAAAACTCATCCAATTTTATAAACGCGATTAGGATCTATTCATCAACCCACACACTGGAAAACCATCTCCCCATTTCAAGATTTGATCACAAAGACGATGATGATGACTTACCATCGGAGAATACCCTAGGCGATGATTCAGTTAATGAGAAGATTATTGGCTACACAGATGACTTTGTAATTTCTAATATTCACAGTGAGGGGGAGAATGATGACGACGACGATGAATAGGAGAGGCGTTCTACTAACATTGCGGTAGAAGAAAAATTATCGATAGATAAACGGTCACATCTTTTGTCGGAAAAGAATCATTGTTAAATGGGGTGGGGTGGTTGTAATTGTGTTATTTGTGAAGCAGCGTATTTATTATATAGATCATCTTACATTATTAAACTGTGATTACCCATAAACTTGTTAGATTAATAATTCCTTCTAGTAATATTTAAAATCAACATGAAAACTTCATTCTTTTTTGTACAATAACCACAACTCATTTTAATGGATGCGTAGAAGAATTTAGCAAGTGATAAATCTTTCATCTTGGAGAACTAAATAACATTAAACGTTTCCAATGAAAAAAAGTGCTTTCTCAATGATTATTGTAAAAAATGATTGATGCTTGTTAATACAACACACATTTGGTTCAATTTATTTCAAATTGGTAATATATTAATATATTCAAACAAAACCTAGGGAAACCCCTATTCTTGCTTGCTTTCTTTAGGAATTTACAATAAAAATAACTCGTATTCTACGATATTCACCCACCCACCTCGTGCATTTGTAAAAACGTTTTCTATAATCATGCTCGAGCCTTCCCTTTCCCGTCATCCTCTACTGAAATGTCATCATCATCGTCACTATGCACACCCATATCCTGTGGATCCGCCTCTTCATCGACATGATCTTCTTCGTCTACATCTTCATCATCCTCTTCATCATCTGGGATTGGTTCCGGCCAGTCCACCCACACATTCTCAAATTTTCCTATTAAAAAAAATTGTCAACGAATATCATTCGGAATACTCTGCTTTTCAAGTGCTATGTTGTTTAGGAGGATGTGTCCTTTCATGTTCGAAAAAAACTTACCATTACTGTCGTCCCAAAAGGTCAAATACAAGATCTGTTCATCACTCAGACCATATGAATTCACTGTTTCCCCTTCCATGTCCAAAGAAGTATAAACTGGTGGATTGCTATTATCCGACTTCAATAGTTTTATTTTCGTTGGATCTCTGATATCATTATCATCCAGTATTTTGATAATTTCTTTTTTGAGTGTCGAGATCTTGTCGTTTCCATTGGCCGTTAGAAATATTGTAAGTTTCCGTCGTTTAATGCGAAAGTAATAGTGTTGGTTTTCTGGTGGTGGTCGCTACAATTTATTTGAGAGAAATTTTTGAGTCTTTTGTCAGAAGCCAGGCGGATAGAGAAAATGTGGTTGCAAGCTTATACTGATAAAGAACGAAACCTTTAGAAGAATTCAATTAGGAAGACGATGTGATAGATCTTATATAGTCTCTAACGTGATTTATTACCTCGTATACCATTTTTATTTTTATGTAGAGTTTTTTTGATGAACAGTCGTAATTGTGGTTGAAAGATGTGGGTTTATATATTGTGCACGCATCACCATATCCGTCGCGCAAGATCATGTGATATTAAGCACTGGTTAAACTGTCATTAAATGATTAATTAATGGGTTTGATTTCTCGTCTATTTCAGATACAAATTTCCCTTTGAAAATTATTATACGGGGTATAAAATGAGGAAAGGTCAACTTAAGGTACGTTTTGATGATAAGATGAGAGAAGTGCTGAGGGTGAGGAGATTCGAAGGCAACAAAGAATTGTCTAATAATACATGTGAATAAAACATATGCCATAGTATAAAAATTTATAAAATTACAAATGAAAAAATAAAGTTTCGAGTTTAGTGTCTTACGGGTACCATTCACGCGAATAATAATAACAGTGACAATAGTAATAATAATAATAGTACTAATAATAATAATAATAATAGAAACTGATCTGTAATTTTATTTTGCCTTGGCGTTTTGACTTAACCAATTTAATCCTTCAAATAAACCTTCCCCGGTGGTAGCACATGACGGGTGAACGTACCAAGCTCTATCGCGCATACGATGTAGACCAAGTTTTTCGGTCACATCAGCCGGTGACATTGCTATTTACGGATGATTGAGTTTTGTGAGCAAAATATGCCAATGAATGCAAACCGATCGCAAAGAAATGCACTTACCACCCGGCAAATCTTGTTTATTGGCAAATACCAGCAGCAAACAATCTCTCATCTCTCGATCTGAAATGATTCGATGTAACTCTTGGCGAGCCTCGTCTATTCGATCACGGTCTTGCGAATCAACTACAAATATAAGTCCCTGTGTACCCGTATAATAGTGACGCCAAAGTGGGCGAATTTTATCTTGACCACCAACGTCCTGTTCATGTTTAATTATCAAAATCTCGGAATTAACATTACTGAAATAACTCTTTGGTCATCAGACAGACAAAGTAACGTTCATTTACCCAGACATTGAATTTGACATTTTTATATGTCACCGTTTCCACGTTAAAACCAACGGTAGGTATGGTTGTCACAGATTGGTTGAGTTTCAGCTTATAAAGGATTGCTAGATGCAAAAAATAATGAATACCTTCACTACAAACAACTTGTGGCAACCAACCGAAAAACATGCCTTTTCTGCCTAGCGAAAATCCATCGTCTCTGAAAACTTACTAGTTTTGCCAGCAGCATCTAGACCAAGCATCAGGATACGCATTTCCTTATTCCCAAATATCCGTGCCAAAGCTTTTGATACCGAGCCTCCCATTATTATTGTATGTCTATAGGGGTGTTTTGAATTTGCTGTTTCGTTCCCGCGATGTGAAGAGATTGATTGGTGGAATACTATTTGTTAACTAAAAGAATGGAATATAGCTGGTATGCGACGAGGTTTCTGTTCTCACTTTTCACTGCCAATTGTTGGTGGCGAGTTATGTACCGGAGATGATGAGTTAGATTCAATTTTTTTTTTACAAAATATCTTAGTCACCCAAAAAATAAGTTGAACAAGCGTACTAAGACCAAAGGATACACAAACTTCTATTGGTGATCAACGCACATATATCAATATCATAAAATATTATGTGCACGTACTATATTTAATATCCTTTACCCTGAATGTTAATATTTCCGGTTCGCAAATGGAATGTGTCACTTAATAAAATGTTCATTAATACAACGAGATCGTAGATGATTTGTTATGCAAAAAAAGATTCAGGATAATCTTTGCGCAAACTGTATTATTTACTATTATTATTCTGTATATTCTGTATGTTCGTTATGAAAGCTGTTGCACGGATAACGGCGATCCTATTTTTGTCTTTAACACAATTTAATATAATAATTTTTATTATTTTCTTTTTTTTATAAAATCTTAAAAAAAAATTATTACAAATGTAAACATAAATTTAAATATAAATATTTTAATTCAACCTATTTATTAATAATATAAAATCTTTCTTTAAATATTTATTTATTTATATAAATTGCTTGATATTTATAATTAATTATTTCAGATTAAGATTTATAGAAATAATATATTGCTTATTTATTGATAAAATTAAAATTTCAAGTTTTTTAATAAAATCAAAACTTGCAAATTATCTTTATAATTATATATTATAAATTTAAATTATATTATATTTTTTTTATAAAAATTATATAAGAAATAAAACAATACAAGTGTATAATATTATTTATTTTAATTAATATTTCTTATAATTATTAATATATTATTTTTTATTTTTTTATTTTTTTTATCACAAATAAACATTAAATATAAAGCTTTCATATAAGCATGTTTTAAAAATTAATAAATTATTTTTTAGATCCTTAATTTGTTTATCCAATCAAATTTAATAAATAGTTATTTAATAATAATATAAAAAAAATAAGTAATTATTTTCAAAATTTTTTTATTATGAAATTACAAAAGAAGAAACTTATTTATCCAATAAAATATATTAATATTTTAAAATATTTTTTTTAAATAATTTTATTAATTAATATCATATTTGTTATTATAAAAATTAGAAATTCAATATAAAAATTTTTTAGAAATTCAATCTATAAAATCTCATATTATTAATTCTAATTTTAAAAATTTTAATTCTAATAATTTTAATTCTAACAACTCTAATTTTAACAATTTTAATTTAAGAATATTTAGTTTTTTATTATTTGATTTAAAATTATTTAATGTTCAAAATAAATACAAGATTTTATCATTAAATTATAATCCTAAAATTTATACTTTTAATGAATTTAGTATTTTAACAAAATATTGTAAAGTATTAAAAATTGTTTAACAAGTTTTAAATATAGTTAAAAAAAATTTTTTTTTCTAATAATTTTTTAAAAATTAAACAAGTTAATTTTAAAATTAATAATAATTTGTTTGATATTAATTCTAAGAAATTAAATAAAATAAATAAAGAAAAACAAAAAAAAATAATAGTCAAATCTTTGGATTATAATTATATTACAAGAGAGACATATTTATTATTGAAATGAATCAAACAGGATATTTCATATAAAGAAGTTATATTTGATACCAAACAAAAAATTAATTTACAAATAAAAAATCAAATTCCATTATTATATTATGACCAACTATTTTTAAATTAATTATCAATAAACTGAATATTACTAATATCAATACTATTATGAATATATTGGAATCAATTGAAAAAAGAAATCATCAACATATTACAAATATTTTAAATTACATATATTATATTATTTTATATTAAAAAAGAAATTTTAATTTTTAAAATTTCAATTCTTTTTATTCAAATTTCTAAAGATAAACAAAATATAGGATATAAAGTTAAGCATATAATGATAACTGTGACATTATTAAATAATTAAATAAGATTATAAAAACTAAAAAATTATCATACTTTTATTTTATATCCAGATTCCAAAACATATAAGTCATTAAAAAATATACTTGTTTCCTTGATTTCAGATCTTCAGTCATTACAAAAAAATATTTTTAATAAATTGATAGCAATTATTAATTAGTTGAATTATATTTTCCTCAGATTGAAAATTTTTAATTACATGTCTTGAAATGAAAACTGCTAATGCTAAATACTTTTGTTTATAATGTGACTGTTTTAAAAATAATATTGATAATACAAACAAGAGTATTTTCAAATCAATAGAAATAATTAAAACAAATTATATTTAACTAAATGGATATTTGAAAAAATCTTTATTTTATATAATATCTATTTGTAATTAAATTTGTAATAAGCTATATATTTTATTAATAATAACAAATTAATTATAGAAATCTTTCTGGCTTATCCACAATACTAACACTATTGTCAAAATTTACAAGAGACGTTATCATATTCAGGAAAACCTCCATCTTAGAGGAAGACACTTCAATATGGATAACAACAATTTTTTTATCAAATGTGACGGTTGCCCAGCTGGTATTTCAAGTGCTGACTCTTGTACAATAAACTTCACAAGCTCAGAAGCATCCTCCTTATAGGTCTTCTCCAACTCTTCAAACCTTAACAAGTATTGCCTAAGCAATATAATCGAAGAGATTTCAAGAACTCCTTAAAAAAATGAACATATTCTCCAATCAGTAGACATTTTCTCTAACTTCCCTCCCATCTCGACACTTCAGGAAATTGGTTTTCTTCAGTCATATTATATTCAAAGTCATCAGGAATATATCTTTATAAATAACTTCAAAGTCAAACTAAACAATCCTGGCCTCTCACCTGGCAACCTACTACAAGTTCTCTTCGATCTTTTTCCCTGGTGCCCTTCTAACAGTGAAATCGAAATAAGAAGTAACAAAAGAATACTTCAAGAAATCTCTAACTATTCTAGAAAAATGACAAAAGTCAACTTCTCCTCAATCATCCAAAAAATCAACAAGATGATACTCAAGAAAACAATACTT